ATTTTCCTTCCTATATTGGTTTCCTAGGCTACTGTAACAAATGATACCAGATTCTCAGAGTCTTAAACAAAGGACATCTGTTCCCTCACAGTTCTGGGGCCCAAAGTGCCAAATCCAGCATGTAGACAGCCACTATCCAAAGGCTCTGAGAGAAAACTCCAGTGTTTTCCTGTCTAGTGGCTCCAGATGTTACTTCCTGTGTCATGGCTGCTTCTATCCTCACAGAACTCTCTCCCGCTTCCTGCCTGCCTCCGTCCTTCCCTTTCTTTGAATGTGTGAGCACATGCTCTAGCTACCCTGCAGCCATATCCCCAGCTCTCCTTTGTGCTATTCCAGAAAGACATTTGCTACATTTGGGACCCACCTGGAAAATCAAGGATGACCCTGTCTCAGATATTTAATGACATCTACAAGAACCCGTTCCCCATCTAAGACTGCTCACACAGGGTCTAGGGCCAGATGTGAGGGGGGCAGCATTCAAGTCACTACAGTCCTCTTTCTGGTTCTTCAAAATCCACCAGAGTAGATCTGGCGGTGGTGGTGCACGCCTTTGATCCCAGCACTCAGGAGGCAGAGGCAAGCGGATCTCTGAGTTCAAGGCCAGCCTGGTCTACAGAGTGAGTTCTAGGACAGCCAGGGCTGCACAAAGAAACCCTGTCTTGAAAAACAAACAAACAAACAAACAAACAAACAAACAAACAAACAAACCAAAAAAGAAAAAGAGAAAGAAAAAGAAAAAAATCCACCAGAGTAAAATACATTCATCCAGAGTCGGGCGGTGGTGGCGCATGCCTTTAATCCCAGCACTCGGGAGGCAGAGGCAGGCGGACCTCTGTGAGTTTGAGGCCAGCCTGGGCTACACAGTGAGTTCCAGGAAAGGTGAAAAGCTACACAGAGAAACCCTGTCTCGAAAAAAAAAATGTTCAATTTTATTTATGGGGTGTGTGTGTGTATGTGTGTGTGTGTGTGTGTGTGTGTGTGTGTGTGTGTACATGAGTGTAGTTGCCTGCAGGGGCCAGAGGAGGGTGCTGTATCTCCTGGAGCTAGAGTTAAATGTGATTGTAAGCCGCTGGACACGGGTGCTGGGAACCAAACTCAGAACCTCTGCTAAGCCAGTAAGCACTTTT